ATGTTTTTTTTTATTGGTGTTCAATTTGCCAACATACAGAATAACACCCAGTGCTCATCTCGTCCTGTGCCCCCCTCAGTGCCCGTCACCCATTCACCCCCACCCCTCATCCCCCTCCCCTCCCACTACCCCTAGTTCATTTCCCAGAGTTAGGAGTCCCACCCATTTCTTCTCCCTTCCCTTCTATTCCCTTTCACTATTATTTATATTCCCCAAATGAATGAGAACATATAATGTTTGTCCTTCTTCAATTGACTTATTTCACTCAGCATAATACCCTCCAGTTCCATCCACATTGAAGCAAATGGTGGGTATTTGTCATTTCTAATGGCTGAGTAATATTCCATTGTATATAGATAAAATGTTTTGAACATATTGATGACTTTCCTGTCAACAAAGACAAGAAAGGACAGTTATGCAGTCCTGCAGCAGTGTGACGACGGCTGGTTTGTGGGTGTCTCTCGGAGGACCCAGAAGTTTGGGACATTCCCTGGAAATTATGTAGCTCCAGTGTGAGTCGTCTCCGTGGCAACTCAGAGCCCAGCCAGGATGGAGTGCGGAGTAGTAGCACTTACAGGAAGGAAAGAGGATCCCCCTCCATCCTCTCCCCAAGACCCGAGCTGCTGGCATCTGCAGACTACCCCCCCAGCAACCGATCTTTGGAGCCCCCGTCAAAGCCCCCTGGAACGCTTCCCACCTACAACTCACAAACATTCCTCTGGCAGCCTTTTTATTCCCCCCCCACCACACCCCTCAAATATAGAGGTCTGCTTTGAAGTGGAGACTGTTTCCAGGCCTTATTGAGACCAGACCCTGGAGCCCCGCTCCCCCCTGCCCTGCTATGGCGTTTCCTCTAACAGGTACTGGCTCCCAGCTTCACCCCCATGGGGTTCCTCTACCCAGAACCAGCTTTCCTAACCTAACAGAGACCAAAGGCCACCTCTGCCTCGGGCAGGGGGGGGAGGCAGGGAGGAGTCCTCCTCTTTCACTCCAACTTGCCAGCTGCCCCATTTGTCTTCCTGCTTCCAGCTGGGCTTGGGAGTGAAGTGGGAGAGAGACCCAGCACCTCCTTAGTGCCTAAGCCCTGGCAAGAGGCCTTGCCTGAACGCCCCCTCTTCCCAGAGGCTGCCCAGACCTGGGCCTGGGCCGTGCGTGTCATCGTGTTGCTGCAGTGCCCAGGAAGGGCTGAGCCTCAGAAAACTGGCTGCAGCCCCAAGTGTTTTCTGGGGAGACTGAGGTGTGCTGCCCTCCTGTCTCACCCGCTCCTCCAAACCCCCAAATACCCCCTGGAAGAGAATATAAAATAAATCTGGATACCAGGGGGAAAAAATGTCAGGATTCAAAGGAGGATGAAGATATGAGGAATAATGGTGGTGGGGAGAAGTATTTTGATTTGAGGATTCCATTTAAAGCACTGACTGGATTATTTAGTGTCCAAACTGTTCCTTGTTTTCTAAAGACCTGTTCAAAGTCTTGATGTTCCTGTCCTCAAAAGAAAAGACATATTGAACTAAGGAGGCCTCATCGACAGGATCTGTGCGGTCACTGCAAAGACAAGAGATTCTCCTGTGGCAATACTTACAGCTTTAAATACATCATGTGACAGGCAGTATGAATTGTACAGGACATCCAAATTCTCCTTGTAACTTAGCTCTGACTTGGCATTGGAAAATGGATTAGGTTTTTGTAGTTTTTTGTAGGTTGTATAACAATTGTACAATGTGAATAGAATAAAATAAATGCATGTAAAAAAAAAAACCTCCAGAGCTGGCAGGATGGAGAGTGCACACCAAAGGCAGCCTCCTGCATAATTCAGCGGCATTTTGGGGACAGCTTCCACGCTGGGCTGCCCTTCACCCGCTCACTGGCTGTAGGATGGCACTGGGGAGGTCTGGATGGATCTGATTTGTGTAGGAGTTCCCTGTAGATAAATTACTGATCCCCCAACTACTACCCCCAGTATGTAATGGCTGAATTAATATGTAATCAACTGCATTGTATCTAAAGCCTTAGAACTAGTCAGGTGCTCCCCCCACCCAGTACCATTTCTTACACTCTAATCCTACCTGATCTTTAACAAAGCATTAATAATTCTAAGGATAAATTCTATTTTGTTGTGCTTTTTTGTAACTGTTTTGAATAAATCAAATTGTACTGTATGTTTGTACTTTTGTGAGATCTTTTTTGCTGTTTTACCATTTTAAGTCTCTGTACTTGGCTACACACAGATTGTACTTTTATTGTTAATGCTCTTCTTATGGATACCCGCATTTAACTTGTGGACTATGTAAACACAATATATATCAATATCTATATATCTATCCATATAAACTACTAGCTTTTCAAAAAAATTCTGTTTCAGTTGTAAATATTAAGCTGTACAATAATGGAAGGTTTATGACCCCACACCTGTCAGGACTTCAGTCGTTCCAACTACTACAACATTGCAGGAAGAAATGACCAATGACAAAATAATACAAGTATGTTTAAGTGGAGGGCAGTTTGTGTTTTTATCTCAGGTTCTGGTTCCAGCAGAACTGGGAAAGTGGGACCCCAGCTCCTCATTCTAGGAGGTCCTGAGAGTCATCAGTTCCTGTATTCACATCTCAACTGAATGTGGCTCCAGTTCCTCTGAATTTGGATCAGGATTTCTCCCCAGAAACAAGTCTGCATCTGTAACAAACCAACCAAAGCTCTGTCAGGTGGCAGCAATGGACCTCTCAATCCATGGATCCCTGAGTAAAATAGGTCTTGTTTAAATACCCTCTGTGAAAAGGAGGACCAAACCAGGGAAACAGCCCAGAAAACACAAGGGACTGTGCTTCTTACCGACCAGCACATCCCAGGGGGAAGCCACCTAGAGACCTCTCCTCAGCACTCAGCCCAACAAGGTAGCTTCTGCCTCCCACCTAGGGAGACACCAAGTTGCCACAAAGTTCCCAAGGTCTCCCTGGGTGGGCGTCAGAACCTGCTGGAAAACCAGCTCTAGCTCTCTGAGAAGCTGCGTGGTAGTCCTCTGATTCCATTGGAAGCCCTTCCTGCCATGAGACACCCTGGACCAGAAAAGGCCATGGCATGCCCTCTGCCAGCCTTTGTTGACACATATGTGACAGTTAAAATGCAAACCTAAAGGCAGCTACACATCCAATATGAATTTACCGTGTGAATCCTTAGATATTTGCTTTGCAAAATGCTCTAGATGTGGCAGATGGATGAAATCATCTCCATCAATTCTTATAAGGAGCCAATTTTACCTTCAAATACTAATTTCCATCTCTTCACAACCAGAAGGCTCAATGGAGTAAGAAGATTCTGTTTGAATATAGGAGAAGCCTATGGGATTTGAAACTGTGCCCCTCCCAACCTTCAGTGGACATGAGAATAGCAACCCCCTATCCTGCTGCACACTGCTAGCTCCAGAGGAAGAACACAGAACTCATTCGAGAATATTTTTGGTTGAGATCAGCACTGGATCTGTGCCAGTTCCGGGTTGCAGGACCTGGGACAGCACAGTGCCTGGGGCCTGGTTCTAGAACATGAGCAAGGCCTAGATGGGGCAGGAGGAATGCTGCAGCGCATGGAACAGGCAGGGAGATGGCTCAGGGTCACCTCCCCACAGGGCAGGCTCTGGAGATTACCTGCCAAAGAGCAGCATGCTCTCCCTCAAGCCATCTTTCTCCCTGAGAGAGCCTGAGGCTGGGCCCCAAAACCCCAAGCAAAAGGAGGTGTACCCATCTCCTGAACTGAAATGACCTCTGCAAAGCTCAGCCCCAGGAAGGTGGGAGCAGTGGACTCAGGGAATCTGATGCCCAGAATTCCTGCCTCTACTGGTCCCAACACTCAGATGCCCTACATAGGCTCCTCCATCCTCGTCCATGGTTCCCCCTCCACACCCCTGGACGAAGAACCTCCATTCCTCTTTGTAATTCCTCTTTGCTTCGGCTTCTCCTTACCCTGTCTCCCTCTTCCTTCCTCTCACTTTAGGACTTGCCCCATTCCCCCACCACTCACTCAGTGTCTCTCTTCCTGAAAGCCTCTTCCTCTGTCTCTTCCCAGGCCCTCATGCCTTCTGCTCTGTGCAGCCCTGTCTAGGAAAACGGGGAACCACATCTCCTCTCTTTCCTGGTCTCCTGCCATGTTTCAGTCCACACCCTGCTCCCAGGGCATGACCATCCCATTTACAAAGGCTGCTTAGGCTGACCTTGGCTGCAGCAGTGAGGTCACCAGCCACCCGTGGACAGCCCTTGGACAGAGAGACCTTGACATGTTGGTGGCCCAGCCATGATCCTCAAGCTGCTGCAGGATGGCTGCCTCCACAGCCTGGAAAGGAGGGCTCTGCAGGATCATGGAGCTCTGGTGCAGAATGGATTGGCATTGAGGACCTAAAAAGACCCAGAAGCACACACCCAACTCCTCCTGCATGGTGGGGGAGCAGTGGGTCTCCCATCATTGACCTCTTAGGGAAGAGGCCCATTCCTCCATAAGGAAACTGGCAGGATTATGGGACTTCATGGGTATTACCAAGAAAACTGCCACTGATCAACCCCCTCAGAGCTCACCCAGACTGGTGCTGTTGAGGGGTAGCTGGTAGGGGGAAGCCAGTGCACAAAACTTGCCTTAATGCAGGGCCTCCTCACCAGTCTCACCAGGGCCATTCCTAACCCATTGTTCAATCCTCACCATCACAATAGACTACTGCCTGGGGACAGACATCTGTCCTGCTGATCACCACACACCTCCTAAACCAGCAAGAGCCATGTGCTCAGGAACATCCATCAACAGAGTAAATAGAACCACCAACAGATCTATATACAAGATGAGTCTACCTCCCCAGAAGGATTTCCTTCCTAGGCCCCTTGCAGGAAAGATCCCACAAAGAGTAATCTTGTGGCCATCCGCCATCACTACCATTTCTGCCAGTTTGTTTACTGTGTATGCAGGATTCACTTTACGCACTCAAGGGGAGGGATGGTAGGTCCTGGTGAAAGCAGACACTGACATGAAGAAAGAAACATGAAACGTTTATTAGGGGGATACCAGGAGTGACAAAGCACAGGGGACAGGATTGAAAGGGGAAACACTCTGACCATTAGGCAGATCTGACACATGTTCTAAATATACACTCTTCATAGCCTGGTTGTTACTGCTCAGGGAGGTCTTCAAATCTGAAACAGTCCTGTAAGGCAAAAGGATCGTGAGTTATTTCAATGGGATCTTCTGTTTTGCTATATGCATTTTGCCTTCACAGTATATGTGAGGCTTTGGGTCAACACTTGCATGTGTGGCTGTCAGTGGGACCAGTACAGGAGCTGGTCCTCTTGTATTCACAGGGATCTGCAGAACAAAGGTATGTTGCCATGTCAGTTTGAAGGATAATGCTCTCCAGCCTGAAACCCAATAGTAGGTATAATACCATGGTTCTTTGTTCACCCTCAGCTTCCAGGAGAGCAGAGCACCAGGGCCAGGAACCAGAGGCCTCCCATTTGATGCCACTACATAGTTCAGGGGCAAGGGAAGGATGCTAAAGGAAAGAACTTAGTATTCCCACACATCACCAAACATCTCTGAGAAGATGGGACTTCAAAGCATCTTGTCCTCCCAGTTGAATAGAAGCCATGACAATCAACTCAAAAGGAGTATATTCCAGACAGGCAGGAATTTGTGGCCAGGCCCACTCTGTTCCCACGTCCAGCGCAGCCACAGAGGGTTATGTATACTCAATAAGCACAAACACTGTGAAAGGAAATGGGAAGCCCAGTGTCCACACATAGAATCACAGCCTCTCATGGGTCAAACTGCTGCTGCCAGCCCCCTCCTGACCCCACTCTGCTTCGCTCCCTGAGAAGGGGTCTTCTACTGCCCACAGTGCTGTTCATGATGACAGATAACGCTGGAAAGATGTACATTTCTGGAGTCCCACAGGGAACCTGGAAAAGTGCTTTCTAAGAGGACCACAATCCCTACGAGTGAGTGGGAACCACCTCTGTAGATCTGCATCACCATTGATCAAATGATCCTTAGCTTAGGCACAGAGCAAGTGCAGAGTCCTTCAGTGCCAAGGACCACTGAGGAGCTGACTCTACATCACTGGATGCAAACAAATGTGGCTGGAGAGTAGGTGTGAAACTCCCATGGTGGGACAGGGGAGACCCTGTCAGCTGGCACAGGTTCTCAAATGAGAACCCATTCACAGGCACACAACAGAAAACATGGGTGAGGTTTTGGCCCTGCAGGTTGTCACTGGTTTTCCTTCTTCACAGCTGTTGGTCCCATGGACATTTTCTACTACACGTATGTCACCTGGCAGAGTTCACAACTGTCTCACCCAGGACTCACCTGAAGGGATTCTGGGTTGTCCCTACCCCCACGGAAGAAACACAGATGACTTGGGAATCCCACCTTACCTAAGAACACTCAAATCTTCCCAAAGCACCAAAGCACGCAGTACAAAGTGCAGACTGACTCATAGCTTTTCACATTTCCCAGCTGTGAGGAACACCAGAGACATATTCCCAGGTTAGTCTCTGGACCTGAAAAACCACAAGGCTGCCCCTCCCACATAACCAAAAACTAGAGGAGTCAACTAGACTGGCAGACTTTAGTGCAGAGAGAGGAGTCACCATCAAGTTATTTTTAGACACATACACACACACACACACACACACACACACACATACACGGTGTGCATCCTGCAATCGTTCATCTCTAAGCATCTGTGGCTTCAGGAGGCACCACCTACGGTGAGGATCTCTAATGGAGAAGCCTATAGGCCCCTGGGAAAACATCCTGAATTTTGAAATGTGAACATGCCTCAGACAGATCACAGGATACACCTAACAGACACTAGGCCAGGACAGGGTGCTGTCCAAAAAGGAATAATCTTCCAGAAGTGGCTACAACAGAAAAATCACACAGCATTTATCTTAGCCATCTCTAGGTCCTTTTTAGGGATGGTAGTGCTATTCATCTCAAGAACTGGTCTAGATTCTAAATCTGACAAAGAATGAAAGTTTATTGTGGTTTGCGCACCCTCTATGCCTTCCTCCCCCATCTTGCACTCTTTCTCACACTCAGTCCCTTATCAGAATAGATGGCTTCCCACATGACCCAAGTGACTATTTTGCTAAGGGAGATACCATCACGTGATGTTAGGGAGACACTATAGGGCCCAGGTTAAGTGTTTCCATAAGGAATCAACCAACAGAGGACAGCACAGGGTACAACTGGCGGGAAATCAACACTGAAATTCGGTTATCAAGACACATCAAAGAAAATCATGTTTTCTTCATAGATTAATAATTGAACTGAGAATAGCCATGGGTGGGTACCCCCATGGGTGGGATATCAGTGCATCCTCCAAATGAGTGGCATGCATTCTCTTCTCAGGCCACAGGTTGATGGTTCAATATTTCAGTCTACAGATGAGGCCTAGCATATGCGACTGGCCATTACAGAAATATTTAAGGAATGTACTTAGCCAATTGTATAGTCATGAGCAAAGAAAAAATAGGTGGATTTAGCAGTAAAGCTGCGGTGTTCTACTCATAACATTAAAGGAATAAAATTACATGAACTGATGAATGCAGTATTGTAGATTCCAAATAAAAATAAAATATCAGAAAGGAATACAGAACATAAAGACTCCTAACTCTGGGAAACGAACTAGGGGTGGTGGAAGGGGAGGAGAGCAGGGGGTGGGGATGAATGGGTGATGGGCACTGACGGGGGCACTTGATGGGATGAGCACTGGGTGTTATTCTGTATGTTGGTAAATTGAACACCAATAATAAAATTAATTCATTAAAAAAATAAAGGAAACTCCATAAACAATAAATAAAGGTCTTTTTTAAATAGTCTTTTTCCCCCAAAAAAAGTCTTCACCACTAGTTCAAGGTGGGAAGAAGCTCAGGACCATCACCCTTCCAGGTACATTTCTTCAGGATGGAGTGATGGAGGGAGTAGGAGGGTCTGCAGTCAGGGGAGGGGTGGGAGCTCCAGCTGTCATGGGGACAGGTGCCCTGCGGCCTGGGGGCACCTGAGGAATATACCCTCCTGTTACCCCTTCAGACAAGCTGCTGTCCTTAGGTAGTGCTTGTGATTCTCTCCAGGACACACAAAGATCACCCACAGGAACTGGAAGGACGCTGAGTGGTGGTTCATAGCAGCAATTGGGCTGCTGCACTTCACAAAGTGCCCCTTACCTCTCCCTGGAGGGTTCTGCGTCTCAGGTCTTCCCGGAATCAGCTCCTGCCTCCTGTGTCTCTCAGGCAGCATCTTTCTTCCAGTAAGCCCAGTCTTGAACAGATAATGGATATATATAAGAATCACAATACCAGCAACTCTCTTGACAATAAACAGCATAGCCGTCCTCCCACAAATGCCCGTTACAACGTCTGTCAACCTCCCGTACCTGTGTTTCAAGTAGGCTTTCTCCCTGCTTTGCTGCGCTATCTCCCTCTCCCAAAACCGAGCCTTGACCTGGGGGAGAAAAACATCTCCACCTTCAGTTGTGCCAGACTGTGCACCAAACAAAGAGGATGAAAAAGCAACCACTTACCCAGTTGTCTTGAGCATTCTTCTCATGAACTGCGATCTGAAAAAGCCAGCACACCAAAAGCCCATGGTTAAGGACTCAAGGAGCCACTGCTGTCCCCTGCAGGAGGTGCCAAGGGTTCATTACATTGGGCAGAGCTCAGGTTACCTGGTGTCTGAAGGTCAGTTCTGACTCCTGCAGCTGTTCTTGCATTTCTTGGACTTGTTGCCTGTGAGTTACAATAGCTTTCATCAGATAAAGCCCATTATTGGGTAGGATTTTAAATAACTGGCCCATGTGGCCATCCTCCTCTTATCTGTCCCCTCATCCAATTTATCCTGGCACAGGAAAACACTTATCACATGATTACAAATGTACAGTTGGATCAAAGCTATTGTTACATCCTTCCCTTACTCACTTTGTCACACCTGCAGGGTTCAGAGTTGATATAATTTCCTTACCTGTCTTCAATCATTCCCTAATTTATCCTGTGACAAGTGTCTTTTGTCATAAAGCTCTTCTCTCCTTTAAGTTCTATCCTTACCATGTTTCCCAGGGTGGCAAAGACCAGGGCCATCAGATGGCACTGCTGTGTTTTGGGTATGATTCAACCTACAACAAACTGCTTTCCTAAAATGAAGACAATTTACACCACCCTCGGGGACACTGGTGTGGATGAATTTTCCACAGAGTCAGGCTAGCGCTGGAGATCAGGGCATGTTTAGTAATGTAATTGTGTGGTCGTCTCTAAAACTTCTATTTTTGTGTCTGTTCTCATTGGATGTCCTATGAATTTTTCTTTCCATTACTTGTTAATTGAGTCTAAATGTTGTACCAGGGTTAAAAATAAAGAGTTAACAGATATTTCAGATGCTGCTAGTATTTAATAGCTGAACTCACTTGTATTTGTCTATTTCTTCTGTGGCTACTTTCAAATTTTTCTCTGTAGCTGACAGCTGATTCTTCTTTGCCACCAGTTCATAGTGTGTCTTTTTCAGTTTCCTAAAATGGGAAAGGTATTTACATAGTCCAGTAGTCAAGGCCTGCAAGCTCTGTAGTTTTTTCTCCCAGGACTCTTGATGGCCTAGATTTGAATGTCCCTTCTCCCCTCCCCGGCCAGTAAACACACAGACTGACAACATGATCAGAGAAATGAATCGAATCCCCCATTTAGGGTTAAAGAAAACCAAACTCTGGCTGCTGCCAAGTCCCCTGCAATTAGAGATGTCTTTATATTCTCTACTTCAATTCATTCATCATCAAGTCTTCAAATAACATTACACTTTGTGCCCTCTCAGAGCTGGTCTTTGTTTGAGATGGTAAAGGCTCATTTCAGTTCAAAGTGAAAAGCCATGTCTGACCAACTATACCCATTAGGATGAAGCAGGGGATCAACATTAGTCCTATACCTCCTTGGGGAGCCCTAATTCTCAGGCCAAGGATGTGCCTGGACAAACAATCAGCCCAAAGAAAGCCTTCCAGAATATGACTTCATCAGTATTGCAGCTCATTCCCAGTCATCTATAGGGTTTAGAAATACAACACCTGCCGCCCCTTTGAACATCCCAGTGGAAGAAAAAGCCTATCTTACTGCCGGCAAAATGTACTGAAGTATAAAATTATGTGAACTGTCACATAGTCAGGGTGTTAAGTCCAGGAAACAGATTTCAGGTAGAAAACTATCAACCACATGGAGTCAACCTACTTTCAGAAGACTGAGTTCATTGATAGTGAAGGTAGCAAAGGGCAATGCTTAGAAAGGCTGATTGGCTGTGTTGTGCTTATATTCTAACACTTGATTGACTCAAGAATCACATGCAAAAAGTCTCTTAGAAACTAGACAACTCTCTTTCACCATACACAAAGATAAACTCAAAATGGATGAAAGATCTAAATGTGAGACAAGAGTCCATCAAAATCCTAGAGGAGAACACAGGCAACACCCTTTTTGAACTCAGCCCCAGTAACTTCTTGCAAGATTCATCCACGAATGCAAAAGAAACAAAAGCAAAAATGAACTATTGGGACTTCATCAAGATAAGAAGCTTTTGCACACCAAAGGATACAGTCAACAAAACTAAAAGACAACCTACAGAATGGGAGAAGATATTTGCAAATGACGTATCAGATAAAGGGCTAGTTTCCAAGATCTATAAAGAACTTATTAAACTCAACATCAAAGAAACAAACAATCCAATCATGAAATGGGCTAAAGACATGAAGAGAAATCTCACAGAGGAAGACATAGACATGGCCAACATGCACATGAGAAAATGCTCTGCATCACTTGCCATCAGGGAAACACAAATCAAAACCACAATGAGATACCACCTCACACCAGTGAGAATGGGGAAAATTAACAAGGCAGGAAACCACAAATGTTGGAGAGGATGCGTAGAAAAGGGAAGTTCTTACACTGTTGGTGGGAATGTGAACTGGTGCAGCCCCTCTGGAAAACTGTGTGGAAGTTCATCAAAGAGTCAAAAACAGACCTGCCCTACGACCCAGCAATTGCACTGTTGGGGATTTACCCCAAAGATTCAGATGCAATGAAACGCTGGGACACCTGCACCCCGATGTTTATAGCAGCAATGTCCACAATAGCAAAACTGTGGAAGGAGTTCGGTGCCCATCGAAAGATGAATGGATAAAGAAGATGTGGTTTATGTATACAATGGAATATTACTCAGCCATTAGAAACGACAAATACCCACCATTTGCTTCAACGTGGATGGAACTGGAGGGTATTATGCTGAGTGAAGTAAGTCAATCGGAGAAGGACAAACAGTGTATGTTCTCATTCATTTGGGGGAATATAAATAATAGTGAAAGGGAATATAAGGCAAGGGAGAAGAAATGTGTGGTGGGAAATATCAGAAAGGGAGACAGAACATAAAGACTCCTAACTCTGGGAAATGAACCTGGGGTGATGGAAGGGGAGGAGGGCGGGGGTAGGGGTGAATGTGTGACAGGCACTGAGGGGGACACTTGACGGGATGAGCACTGGGTGTTATTCTGTATGTTGGTAAATTGAACCCCAATAAAAAATAAATTTATTATTTTACAAAAATAATAAAAAATAAAGGGTTAAAAAAATGAAATAGGAAAAAAAAAAGTAACCGAGACAAAAGCCCTAGACACAGAAAGACCCTTGAGTTTGTATCTGGTCTCTCAGGCAATCATGCAGCAAATGTTTTCTGGAAGGGCTGTAATGTAACGGCTCAGTTGTAAGGTGTTGAAGAGAGAAAGGTGGTCAAAGCAATGTACTTTCCCCCAGAAAAGAACTTACCAATGAACAAAAACAAGATACCAGTGAGAAAGAGCAGTCTCCACCCCTGCTGTGTTAAGGAATAACACAAAGCTGAGACTCCAGGGAAGAGAAGGAACAGTTTTACTTTTCAACATGAATGAGGGACTCTAAGGTACTCATCTCCTCTTGAGAAAAAAAAAAAGTAAATACTGGACAAAAGAGGAAACTCTGGCTTGAATGCATCAAACTAACTAGCACAAGAAATAGGAGAACAAGATGGAGAAGAGGGTAGCCTAGGAGAAAGCTAGCCTGGCAGTTGGAACCAATCTCCCCAGGACTTATCAGTAAATTCTGGAACAGGCAAGTGAACTGCAAAGAAGCTGAACAACTTTATAGGCACAGGCTTAGGAGGAATCAAGTGAATCTCAGGGTCAGCCAGCAATGGTGAGCCCTGGTGAAACTACAGGCTTTGGTTTGGACCCAAGAGGGTCACACACAAAAAATCAGGTGAATGGGAAATACCCTGGCCTTCTTAAGAATTGAGCCTGCAATGAATGATCTCAACTGCACACTGGATGAAGCAATCCAGTACTGCTGGCGCCCCAACCTACTTTCCAGAAAGAAACTCCCACTGTTTCTGCAGCAAGAGAATTCTACTTTTCTCTACACATTCTTGACCCAAGTCTCATACTAAACAAATGACCTCATTTAGGGCTAATAAGAACTTGTAATGAGACTGAAACCTAAAGGACAATGTAGACAGACCCAAAGGGGATCCAGGTATCAAAGGGATTAATGCTGTTATGTACTCTCTTCTACCCCAAGTAAATCACACAACAACATGTGACAAGCAGTTAGAAGAGAAAGGAAAAGGCAGGTTCCAGAAATCAAGGTAGGCAAGGCAGACACCAATTCTACTGAATACATTTGGCAAAAATACTGTAGATCCTATTCTAAAAGGAAGACAATTTTCCATACTGGCCACCACACAAATTCATACAACATTATTTGTGACAATTAACACAGGAATATCTTACTCTTCTGCAGCCACTTTTGTCTGTTCATAGAATTCAGTCAAGGTATCCACTCTCTTCTTCAGCTGTTTCAATTCTGCTTCCTTCGTTGTTTTCATGGAACTCAATGCATTGCACTTGTCTTCCAGGACCTTTTTACTGTCTGTAAAGGATGGTTTTCTTCTGTGTGTGTGCACATGACCTGAGAACTTGCTTGTGACGGGGGAAGGAGAAGGGTAATGACCTTCAGGACAGGAAGGCATTCTTTCCCTTCTCAGTGCACACTCGTTGCCACCACATGGGGATATATTTCCCCCAAACCACATACCTTCCAGGTCATATTTCTTGGACCTCAAGACTCTCAGCTCTGGATCTTCAAATTCATCTTGCAACTTAAAGACAGATATGAGAAAAGACATTCAAGCAATCATGATCGCAGAACAATGTGAGTGTACCTAATAGGACAGGATCATTCAGTACAAGAAAGAAAGATCTTGAGCCATAAATGGGAGAGGGTGAAAGTAAGGAAGGTGGAAAATAGTTCAAGTCGAAGAACTCATAAATGGCTTTCCCCTATTCACATTGAAAATTTTATGTTAAGCATTAAGAGAAGGAATGGACTGTATAACTTGGCTAGCTATCACCCTTCATCTCTCAAATATCTTATAGGATTTTCTACATTTCTCACAGGGCAGGGCTGAATGATGTGATAATTGCCTAGCTATGAAAATAAACCATACTTCCTAGTCTTTGAAATAGCAAAACTCATCATAGTGGTCCTAAGTGAAATTCAGCTCACTGTTCAGAAGGAGTGTCTGTTCCCAGATTCCCACTCTCAACTGTGGTAAACAGCAAGCAAATAGGTGCACTCATCTCACTCAATGAACAAAAAGCCTCCCAAGCTACATTATGGTAAAACTCAACAGCCAACACTTTAAATTTTTTTATTTTATTTAAATTAAAATTTTAAAAATTAATTAAATTAACATATATTATTAGTTTCAAAGATAGAATTCAGTGACTCATCAGTTACATATCACACCCAGTACTTATTACATCATGTGCCCTCCTTAATGTCTATCACCCAATTACCCCATCCCCTAATCCACCTCCCTTCCAGCAACCTGAATTTTGTTTCCTACAGTTAAAGTCTCTGCTATCCACGTTGAAGCAAATGGTGGGTATTTGTCATTTCTAATGGCTGAGTAATATTCCATTGTATACATAAACCACATCTGGAACTGGAGGGTATTATGCTGAGTGAAGTAAGTCAATCGGAGAAGGAAAAACAGTGTATGTTCTCATTCATTTGGGGAATATAAGTAATAGTAAAAGGGAATATAAGGGAAGGGAGAAGAAATGTGTGGGAAATATCAGAAAGGGAGACAGAACATAAAGACTCCTAACTCTGGGAAATGAACTAGGGGTGGTGGAAGGGGAGGAGGGCGGGGGGTGGGGGTGAATGGGTGACGGGCACTGAGGGGGACACTTGACAGGATGAGCACTGGGTGTTATTCTGTATGTTGGTAAATTGAACACCAATAAAAAATTAATTTATTAAAAAAAAGTCTCTGCTATCTTGTCTCCCTCTCTGATTTTGTCTTATATCTCGCTCCCTCCCACTATGATCCTGTTTTGTTTCTTAAATTCCACATACGAGTGAAATCATATGATAATCATCTCTCTGACTTATTTCACTTAGCATAATATCCTCTAATACCATCAAGCATTGTAAATGGTAACATTTCATTTTTTGATGGCTAAGTAATATTCCATTATATAAATACATATATATTCCATTATATGTGTGTGTGTATATATATATATATATATATATATATATATTCATACACTACATTGTCTTCATCCATTCATCTGTCAATAGACATATAGACATCTGGGCCTTTTCCATAGTTTAGCTATTGTGGACATGCTGCTATAAACATTTGGGTGCAGGTACTCCTTCAGATCACTGAGTTTGTATCCTTTGGGTAAATAGCTAGTAGTCCAATTGCTGGGTCATAGGGTAGCCCTACATTTAACTTTTTGAGGAACCTCAATACTTTTTCCCAGAGTGGCTACAGCAGCTTACATTCCCACCAGCAGTGTAAGAAGATTCCCCTTTCTCAGAATCCTCACCAACATTTCTTGTTTCATGACCTGTTAATTTTAGCCATTCTGACTGGTTCAAGGTGGTATTTCATTGTTATTTTGATCTGTATTTCCCTGATGCCAAGTGATGTTGAACATTTTTTCATGTGCTTGTTGGCTGTGCGTAGGTCTTCTTTGGTGAAACGTCTGTTCGTGTCTTCTGCCCATTTCTTGACTGGATTATTTGCCTTTTTGATGTGGAGTTTGATAAGTCCTTTATAGTTTTTGGATACTTGCCATTTATCTGATGAGAGATTTACAAATATTTTCTCCCATTCATAGGTTGTCTTTTGGGTTTGTCAACTGTTTTCTTTGCTGTGCAAAAAGCTTTTTATCTTGATGAAGTCCAAATGGTTCCTTTATACTTTTGGTTCTCTTGTCTTTGGATACATATCCAGCAAGAAGTTGCTGTGGCCAAGGTCCAAGAGGTTGCTGCCTGTGTCCTCTCTAGGATTTTGATGTTTTCCTGTTTCACATGTAGGTCTTTATCCATTTTGAGGTTATCTCTTTGTATGGTTTAAGAAAGCTGTCCAGTTTCATTCTTCTACATAATGCGGTCCAATTTTCCCAACACTATTTGTGAAGAAACTGTCTTTTCTCCATTGGATATTATCTCCTACTTTGTCGAAGATGAGTTGACCACAGTGTTGAGGGTCCATTTCTGGGTTCTGTATTTGGTTCCATTAATCTATGTGTCTGTTTTTATGCCAGTACCATATGGTCTTGATGATTAAAGCTTTGTAATATAGCTTGGGGTCTGGAATTGTGATGCCACCCACTTTGTTTTTTTTTTTTCAGTGTTTCTCTGGCTATTGTCTTTTCTGGTTCCATATAAATTTTTACTATTGGTTAGTATCTGGATCAGAATTTTGGCATCCATGTTCATCAGGGATACTCATCTGTAATTTTCCTTTTTTGTGGAGTCTTTGTCTGGTTTGGGGATCAGTGTAATGCTGGCATCTTAGAAGGAGTTTGGAAGTGTTCCTTCCATTTTATGAAACAGCTTCAGAAGAATAGGTATTAATTCTTCTTTAAATAGTTTGTAGAATTCACCTGGGAAGCCATCTGGTCCTGAACTCTTGTTTGTTGGGAGACTTTTGATGACTACTTCCATTTTTTTGCTGCTTGTGGATCTGTTAGGTTTTCTATTTCTTCCTGTTTCAGTTTTGATAGTTTAGATGTTTCTAGGAATGCATCCAGTTCTTCCAGATTGCCCAATTTTTTTTGGCATATAGTTAGTTGTCCATAATATGTTCTCATAATGTTTGTATTTCTTCCATGCTGGTTGTGATTGCCTCTCTTTCAATCATGATTTCATTCATTTGGATCCTTTCTCTTTGTTGATAAGTCTGGCTATGGGCTTATTGATCTTATTAATTATTTCATAGAACCAACTCCTAGTTTCACTGATCTGTTCTACTCTTTTTTTGGTTTCCATTTCATTGATTCCTGCTCTAATCTTTATTATATCTCTTTTCCTGCTCGATTTAGGTTTTATTTGCTATTTTCTTCAGCACCTTTAGATGTAAGGTTAGGTTGTGAATTTCAGACTTTTCATGTTTCTTGAGAAAGGTTTATATTGCTATATATTACTCTCCTAGGACTGCCTTTGCTGCATCCTAAAGGTTCTGAATCTTTTTTTTTCATTTTCATTTGCTTCCATGAATTTTTAAAATTCTTCTTTAATTTCATGGTTGACCCATTCATTCTTTAGTAGGATGTTCTTTAATCTCCATGTATTTTTCTTCCTTCCAAATCTTCTCCTGTGATGAAGTTCAAGTTTTAAAGAATTGTGGTCTGAGAATATACAGGGAATGATTCCAATCTTTTGGTACCAACTGAGACTTGATTTATGACCTAGTAAGTGATCTATTCTGGACAATGTTCCATGTTCACTGTAGAAGAATGTGCATTCCGTTGCTTTAGGGTGAAATGCTCTAAATATATCTGGGAAGTCCATCTTGTCTAGAGTGTCAAAATACTTGTTTCCTTTCAATAATCAACTTGTACCACGTCTGTCTGATTCTTGACTTTCCTCTCTCAGACTGCATGTTAGCAGGTGTACATTGAAGGGTGTAATTTAAGTTTTCATTAACCAGTTCAAATGTTTTGATGTTCTCCTTCAACAAAACATATATTAAATGAGTCATAATTATTCATTACTTACTTGGGGCACCTGGGTGGTATGGTTGGTTGATGTCTGACTCTTGGTTTTAGTTCAAGTCCTGATATCAGAGTCAATGAATTGAGCCCTGCATCAGGCTACACACTCAGCATGGAGACTGCTTGGGATTCTCTCTCTCTCTCTCTCTCTCTCTCTGACCACCTCTCTCTCAAATAAATAAATAAATATATAAATAATAATAATAATAATTCACTACTTTTACTTATGTCATTAGAACACAATTCAAGCAAAGAAGGGTTTATTACCTTCAATTTAGGAGTTTCATCAGAGAGAAACATATTTTCTGTCTCAGTTTCTGATAGATGTTTCTTTGCTTCCCTGATCTATAAAACATATTAAAAAGGAATCAGAATTTAAAAATAGCATAGAGCTAGACAACCTATCTTCTAATGTGTGACTCCTTTCACAAAAAAAGAGGCAGTGCTCTACATCTGTGATGATTATCTTGAATTGATACTGTTTCTGGATCACATGAAATAGGTCAGTAGAATGAACTACCAGATGTGGAAGTAACTGAAATGAAATCACAAAAAATATTTGAAAGAGTATCTATACCTTCTGCTCCCAAATGGATATTTCTTCAGCAAGTTCTCTGCTTTCTTTCTCAAACCAATTTATCTTCTCAGTTATTTGCTGTAAATTAACTAAAAGGAGAGGAAACAATGTCTAAGATTATTAGCAAAACCAGTGACATCGAATAATTCCAGTGTATTAGCAGCTGAGACCCAGTATCTGACACTTCAGTGTAACTAACTTTTTAGCATTCCCATTGTGACTGAAGAAAGCAAGTTTTCGCAGCATTTGAAACCTAGATGACCTTATTTCAGTGAGATCCCTACTTAAAATATTTTCAAAAATAAAGAAGTGCAATAAAACATCTTCTAATTTTTCTCCCATCTGTAGACACCATTCTTGGAAAATTTAATCACTTTATTTATTTTTTTTTAATTTTTTTTTAATTTTTTTTAATTTAATCACTTTAAATGCTTATGTCATCACCAGAGATGTAAGAGAAAAATCAAGCATCCTATCAACTTACATTTCTCTCCTCCAATGATTAAGGTACATAAATAATTCCTTGCAAACAACCTAAAAGGAACAAAACCATCCTTGACTCCTGGTTTGTGTCACATCCACTTCCAGGTGCTACTTGGAATTCCACACAAGGAAAGCTCAAAATGTCAATTGACTGACTACTCAAAGGCCTTCAGTGACTTCCTGCTGTTCACAGACTTTTATGAACCCTAGGCTGGGGGCTCTGGAGGACAAGGTCTTTGGAATCAAACATGCTTGGGGACAGTCACCACATTACACACAATCCCTGGAGGGCATGGATAACTCACAGTCCCTAGAAGCCAAGCTTTTTTCATCCCAACATGAGAATTTTACCCTCCACCCTTACAGGAAAACAACACTCATGAAGTATCCTATCACAGGTGGATAACACATGTAAGCTCTAGAACTACACAGACTCCTGTAACAGGCATTTAATTCTCTTAGCCAACCACAAAGTACAAACTTCTCTTCTACTGCCTCAGTGTGAGAGCTCTCATGCCCTGAGATCTCTCTTCTCACCACCAGTACTGCGGTACTCAAAGTGAGAAACACCAGCACTCAAGGCTTTGCTAAGTGCCAGGCAGCACCATGGCTCTCAACAGACAGCATCATGGAATCACTACAATCCATGAGGCCCTGAAATAATACGTTACCCCCATTTGCGCATGCTCATTTCCACTCATTTGTTCCCCTGGAAGGAAAGGCTCCCTCCACTGCAGACTCAAACCATGGTTTAAACCTCTCTTGTGACATACACTGCCTGGCAATATCTGGCTTCTTGTCGAAGTTTAGCCTTTTTGATAGAATCAAAGGAGTGTTTTCTAACCTTCACATTTCACCAAGAGCCAAGTCAGGATTCTATTATCACTTGCCTCCTAAACATCTCTATGAAAGATTACAGTCTTTCTCTTCTCCCTACTCCCATAAAATGTTCCTCCTCCTCACCTCTTAAGAGATGGCAACTCCCTCCACATTGTCACTTAGATTCCAAATGGGGAACAGGAAGATTTTCAAGAGTTAGCAAGTCAATTACACATCAGAAGGCACCATATTTAACCCTAGTTAAAACAAGCTGTACTGAGAAAATATTACAAAGAAAACTAAAGCCTAAAATCTTACCTTGATATTCTTGAGGCTCTACCTAAGAGAGGAAGAAACAAAATTAAGTTTGATGTCAAAACATATTATTAGGAGGAAAGCCCAGTCCTGGAGAAGTGAGAACTTTAAAAATCCCTGCTGGAGTTTTCCCTGACAGAAAAGGGCTTAGCAGGGAAATCAGGCAGAACCGCTGGAGGGGCAGTGAAGCCCCCTCCAGCAAGAGCCCCAGAGTCACTATAAGAGGAGGGGCGCCCGGGGAGGGGGCGGGCAAAGCTCACTGCAAACCACAGTCCAATCTCGGTAAAGGGCTGGAGCACCACAGCCCTCCAGGGCATTTGGGAGAAGCCAGTCGGTTAGGCAAGCCAGCTCTGTACAGAGGTGGCTGTCCACTGTCTCCTTCGGGAGAGTCGGTCCCCAGGAGTGTGGGTCCAGCGGCCCAGGGCCCCAGATCCCTGGGCGCCCAAGTGAACAAAGCCGCCAATCCTGCATTTCCCCTGGGACAGGCAGAAGCAGGGAGGGCACAGGAAAGCGAGGACTCTATGGCCACCAGGCCCACCCCCAAGCTGTGCAGATCAGTGCACCTGCACCTGCCCCCGGGAGCATCTAGCCCCGGGCGGACTGGGAGACTGCAGTTAGTTACTTGCAGGGAGCTCCACTCCAGAGCTGGAAATCTGGCTACTGCCATTCTTATTCCTCTTTGTTTCACCGTGTGCCCAGGAGAGGCGGGGCCTCTAAGGAACAAAGGCCTTACAGGACAAACAGCTCATACTGAGCCCAGCACCTGGCAAGGGGGGGGCATCTTCGCCCAGGCACAGACACCTGAGAATCAGCACAGTAGACCCTTCCCCCAGAGGAACTGCTGGAAGAACAAAGAAAGAGCAAGTTTACTGACCAAGTGGCACTGGAAAGCTACAGGACTGAGAGAAAATAGTATATAGAGCTAGAGGGTCCTTTTTTTTTTTCTTTTTCTTGTTTCTGTTTTTCCATTATGACTCCATTTTATATCAGACTAAAAATTTCCAATATTTTTTCTCCTTTCCCACGTTAACTACAGTTTTTTACCAGCTCTTCATTTCTCGGCTGGGTACAGTATACTTTATCGATGGTACATGACAAGGTAGGGTTCCACAAGCCTCTCCCCTTCCTCAGGGTCTGGGATGTAAATTGGAGGTCAGGAGATTCTCAGTGTGTTGGGGGATTAATTTGGGGCAGGGACCCCCCAGCAGCTGAGGGCCACTCTCTTCCTCTTGTTCTTGCTGGGGCTGGTGGTTCAGGAGGCTCTTACTCCTTGGAGGCCATGTGGACCATGAGGTCCACCACCCAGTTGCTGTAGCCAAATTCATTGTCATACAAGGAAATGAGCTTGACAAAGTGGTCATTGAGGGCAATGCCAACCCGGCATCGAAGGTGGAAGAGTAGGTGTCACTGTTGAAGTCGCAAGAGACAACCTGGTCCTCAGTGTAGCCCAGGATGCCCTTGAGGGGGCCCTCCAATGCCCCCTTCTTGATATCATCATATTTGGCAGCTTTCTCCAGGTGGCATGTCAGATCCACAACTGGCATGTTGGGGATGGGGACATGGAAGGCCATGCCAGTGAGCTTTCCATTCAGCTCAGGGATGACCTTGCCCACAGCCCTGGTGGCACCAGTGGAAGCAGGGATGATGTTCTGGGTATCCCCTCGGCTGTCATACCACAGCTTCCCAGAGGGGCTGTCCATGGTCTTCTGGGTGGCAATGATGGCATGGACAGTGGTCAAGAGGCCCTCCACGATGCCGAAGTGGTCCTGAATGACTTTGGCCAGAGGAGCCAAGCAGTTGGTGGTGCAGGAGGGATTGCTGACAATCTTGAGGGAGTTGTCATACTTCTCGTGGTTCACACCCATCACAAACATGGGGGCATCAGCAGAAGGAGCAGAGATGATGACTCTCTTGGCCTCACCTCTCAAGTGAGTCCCAGCCTTCTCCATGGTGGTGAAGACCCCAGTGGACTCCACAACATACTCAGCACCAGCATCACCCTATTTGATGTTGGCAGGATCTCACTCCTGGAAGAAGGAAATGGACTTCCCATTGGTAACAAGTTTCCCGTTTTCGGCCTTGACCATGCCATGGAATTTGCCGTGGGTAGAACCATACTGGAACATGTACACCATGTAGTTGAAGTCAATGAAGGGGTCATTGACGGCGACAATATCCACTTTGCCAGAGTTAAAAGCAGCCCTGGTGACCAGGTGCCCAATACGACCAAATCCGTTCACTCTAACCTTCACCATCGTGTCTCAGGGATGTGGCTGGCACTGTACCAGAAGATGCGGTTGTCTGTCGAATGGGGAGGAGCATATAGCCCAGCTCTTCATTTTTAAGTTTTTTCCTTTTTGACTTTCATATTTCTACAATTAAATGTCTTAGATATATTTTTCATTTCTGGATTCCCTTCAATGTATTCAATTTAATTTTGGTAGATATACGAGATACAGATTTTTGTTTTTTGCTTTTTCTGCCTTGCTTTGTTTTACAAGAGTGGAAGTTAGTATCTTCTAAAACAGGATGAACATACACCCAGAACCAAGCGGAATACTGTGTTAGTTCATTCTGTGAGATTATATTCTCTCTTTCCCTTCCCATTCTGCCCCCCTATTTATCTTGTTTATATTTTGGTGGTCAATGTTGGGGCTGTCTAGAAGTATTGCTGGTTTATATAAATTTGGGATTGAGCATCTTCTAACATACAGAACAAAATACCCTTGGAACCAAGAGAATCACCTAAAAGGACCCCTCAGGTAGACTACATTCTCTCTCCACTACCACTTCCTCACGACTACCATCTCCCCACCACACCTTTTTTCCTTTTTCCTCTTTTTTTCTTCTTTCTTCATCATGTGTTTTTAATTTTTGGCTTTTTCTACTTTGTATTAAAATTTGTTTTTCACTTCAGTGGTCCTTTTGATTTATTTTGTTCTGTACTTCTTTTTCTTTTATTTTCTGGTCTCTGTCCTCTTCAGAATCATCTAGGGTGTATTTTATTTATGTTGTGGGTGATATTTTTGACTCATCCCACTCATACAGCCACAATGCACTGGACAAAATGACTAGAAGGAAGAATTCACCACAAAAGAAAGAACCAGAAACAGTACTCTCAGCAACAGAGTTACAGAATTTGGATTTGAATACGATGTCAGGAATTCAATTCAGAAGTACAATTATAAAGCTACCAGTTGCTCTGTCAACAAAGCATAGAGGACTCTAGAGATTTCATTACTGCAGAATTGGGATCTAATCAGGCCAAAATTAGAAATAGATTAAATGAAATGCAATCAAAACTGGAAGTTCTAACTGCTAGGTTTAATGAGGTGGAAGAGAGCATGAGTGACATAGAAGACAAGTTGATGGTAAGGAAGGAAGTTGAGGTAAAAAGGAAAACAATTAAGAGCCCATGAAGAAAGGCTTAGGGAAATAAATGATAGCTTCAGAAGGAAGAATATATTTCTGATTGGGATCCCAGAAGAGGCTGAGAGAGAGAGAGAGGACCACAAAGTGTATCTGAACAAATCATAGCCGAGAACTTCCCAAATCTGGAGAAAGGAAACAGGCATTCAGATACAAGAGAGAGGACCCACCCACAAAAAATAAATAAAAACAATTCAACACCTCAACACTTAATAGTGAAACTTGCAAATTTCAAAGATAAAGAGAAAATTCTTGCAGTGCAAAACAGATTCTTAACTTATATGGTGAGAAATATCAGATTAACAACAGACCTCCCCACAGAGACCTGGCAGGCCAGAAAGGGCTGGCATGATATATATAGGGTACTAAATGAGAACAATGTGCAGCCAAGACTACTTCATCCAGCAAAACTGTCATTCAGAATAGAAGAAAAGATAAAGAGCTTCCAGGATAGGCAGAAACTGAAAGAATATGTGACCACCAAACCGGCTCTGCAAGGAATATGAAGGGGGATGCTGTAAAAGAGGAAGCCCAAAGAAATAATCCACAAAAACAGGGACTGAATAGGTAATATGATGACGCTAAATTCATATCTTTCCGTAGTTACTCTGAATATTAATGGGCTAAATTATCCTATCAAAAGATGCAGGGTATTGTACTGGATAAAAAAAAAAAGCAACATCCATCTATTTGCTGTCTACAAGAGACTCATTTTAGACCTAAGGACATCTCCAACCTGAAAATTAAGGGGTGGAGAACCATCTACCATTCAAATGGTCCTCAAAAGAAAGCAGGGGTAGCAATCCTCATATCAGATAAATTAAAGTTTATCCCAAAGACTGTAGTAAGAGATGAAGAGGGACACTATAACATACTTAAAGGGTCTATCCAACAAGAGGACTTAACAATCATGAATACTTATGCCCTAACGTGGGAGCTGCCAAGTGTAACAATCAATTAATAACCAAGGTAAAGACGTACTTAGATAATAATACACTAATAGGAGGAGACCTCAACATGGCACTTTCATCAAATGACATACCTTCTAAGCACAACATCATCATAGAAACAAGGTCTTAAATCATACACTGGGCCAAATAGATTTCACAGATATATACAGAACTTTCCATCTGATTGCATATTCTTCTCAAATGCACATGGAATTTTCTCCAGAATAAACCACATATTGGGTCACAAATCAGGTCTCAATCAATACCAAAAGACTGGGATTTCCCCCTGCATATTTCAAGACCATAATTCTTTGAAACTACAACTCAATCACAAGAAGAAATTTGGAAGAAACTCAAACACATGGAGGTTAAACAGCATCCTACTAGGATGAATGGGTCAACCAGAAAATTGGAGAATAATTAAAAAGATTCATGGAAACTAATGAAAATGAAAATACAACTGTTCAAAATCTTTGGAATACAGCAAAAGCGGTCCTAAGAGGGAAACACATCGCAATACAAGCCTCCCGCAAAAATTGGAAAAAACTTAAATACACAAGCTAACCTCACACATAAAGGAACTGGAGAAAGAACAGCAAATAAAACCTACACCAAACAGAAGAACCTTATTAAAAAGAAACCTTATTAAAAAGAAAAAAGATTCAAATTAATAAAATCATGAATGAAAGAGGAGAGATCACAACCAATACCAAGGAAATACCAACTATTTTAAAATCATATTATGAGCAGCCATATGCCAAGAAATTAGGCAATCTAGAAGTGGATGTATTTCTGGAAAACCACAAATTACCAAAACTGGGATAGGAAGGAAGAGAAAACCAGACAGGCCAATAACAAGGGAGGAAATTGAAGCAGTCATAAAAAATCTCCCAAGACACAAATGTCCAGGGCCAGATGGCTTCCCAGGGGAATTCTATGAAATGTTTACAGAAGAAATAATACCTATTCTACTAAAGATGCTTCGAAGGATAGAAAGAGATGGAATACCCCAAACTCATTCTATGAGGACAGCATGACCTTGATTCCAAAACCAAAGACCGCACCAAGAAGGACCAATATCTCTGATGAACATGGATGCAAAAATTCTCAACAAGATCCTAGCCAGTAGGATCCAACAGTACATTAAGATTATTTACCATGACAAAGTGGGATTTATCCTAATAATGTTGTTAGGGGGAAGTGCATCTGTAGAGGGCAAACAGAAAACCGTGGTTATTCTTTTAACTTCACATGTTGCTAGGAACCTCTGAGCTTCCCTGGCCCTTGTCACCTAGTCCCACAGGCGGGGGAAGTGAAAAGGTGGAAGGGCACACCAAATACGATCATCTTGTTTTTGAAGGGAAGATTTCTACATTGGGAGGGAAAGGAAGAAATACTCACTTAGAAATAAACTCAAAAGTTTTATGTTCTTAGAGAGCTCTACCCTCAAGTGAAACTGTCATCAGAGCCTAATGGGAAGTTTCCCAAAGACTAGTGAGGATAAATACTCAACTCCAGTGCTCTCTCCTTCCTGTCTCACCTGGGAGTAAACTCAGCCTAGCCCCAGATAAGTAGAAAACTTCACACTAATGTCCTAAGTGGGTAACATACACATAAAGGAATACCAGTAGAATGGAAAAGAGAAATATTTGAAGCAATAATGGCTGAGGATTTTACAAAATTAATATAGTCACCAAATCACAGATCCAAGAAGTGCCAAAAATCAAAAGCACAATAAATAGCAAAACAAACACACAAACAACTAACAAAAAAAAAAAACCCAGATATGCCTAATATATAACATTCAGCTACAGATCATTAAAGACAAGAAAACAATTTTGGAAATCTAGAGCAGGGGTTGGGGTAGGTGGATGAAGAGAGAGAGGGGAGAAGTCACACCTTACCCAAGGGGAACAAGTGTAAGAACTATATCACACTTCTTTTCATAAACCATCCATCAAGAAGGATAAAATGTATAAAGTGTTAAAGAAACATCAAACTAGAAACATCAAACTGGCCAGTGAAATGATCCCTCAAAACACACTACAAAGTAAGGAAAACTGTCAAGGATAATGATGGGCATCACTTCAATGGTAAAAGAGTCAATTCTCCAAAAAGGCATAATAATTTCTAATGTGCATGCATTAATAACAGTGTCAAAATACATGAAGCAGAAACTGAAAGAATTGCTGATGGAAATAGATGAACCTATTATTACAGCTGGAGAATTCAAAATCCTCCATCAGTCACTGACAGATCAACGGATACAGAAATTCCATAAGGACACAGGTGAACTGAACAGCATCATCAATCAACTGGATCCGTTAATATCAGTAGAATACTTCATCCAACAACAGAAGAATATACATTCTTTTCAAGCTCACATGGAACATTCACTGAGACAGGCCATATTTGGGGCCCTAAGATACATCTGAACAACCAAAGAAATAGAAATCACAGGAAGTATGTTCTCAGATCACAAATGACTCCAACAGGACATTAAGAACAGAAGGACAGGTGCAAAATGACACAAAAATGAAGATTAAGTAGTATACTTTTAAAGAATTCATGGGTTAGAGGGGAGGTGGGTAAAGGATGGGTGAAAGAAATGAAGGGGATTTAGAGTACACCTAATGTGATGAGCACAGAGTAATGTACAGAACTGCTGAATCACCATTCCATGTCCACCTGAAACTAACAGTTCAGTTATACTTGAACTTTACTTTGATTAAGATTTTATTTATTTATTTGAGTGGGGGGAGTGCACGTACAAGCAGGGGGAGTGGCAGGGAGAGGGAGATGGAGAAGCCCAATTCAGAGCTCCATCCTAGGACCTTAGGAATATGACTTGAGCCAAAGGCTGATGCTTAACTGACTGAGCCACCCAGGCATCCCTATACTTAAACTTTAAAAAAAAAAAAGAACATATGGATCACAGAAGGCACTTCAATAGAACTTTATAAATATTTCAATCTAAATAATAATGAAAAATGAGCACATTAGAAGGAAATTTGTAGTAATGAATGCATATAAAAGGTTCAGTGACTATAACATTTTTCTGGTTACTTATGAATAAATGTATAGAAAGCACTTTAGTATACTTACAGCAAGGATGGTTCTCCAGAGGTAAATTAGAAATGCACAAATTCCCAAGGATGCAGTTATAACGGTAAGGGTCCACAGAATCTCAACACCATCAGAGCCAGGAGGGAAATGGCCAGGCAAAATACAGACAAACTGAAATAACATTTGAGATAATGAGGAATCTCAAAGACATTTACAACTTATCTGTCAGGAAGAATAAGCTTTATAAACCCTCAGCCAGCCTATAGGAGGTAAGCATACCTCTCAAATGCCTCCTCATACAGGAGAAGGAGCACAAATTGATTACAAAGGAGCAGGGGAAAATTGTTCGGAGTGATGAGTGTGTTTGCTTTCTTACTGTGGTGATGGGTTTCATTGCTGCTTACCTATGTCAAATATCATCTAACTATAGTCTTTAAAAAGATTCTGTTATCATAAATAAATTATATCACAATGAAGCTGTGGGAAACATCTAATAGGCAAATCTTAAGAGATTGTGTTTTGCCTACAAACGCATTGCAAATTTTTTTCTATAGTGAACAGAACTTAAGAATTTATAAGCTAATTTCAAATAGACAAAATAAGTAAATGCAAACTTAAAGTAGATAAGAAGTCAGTGACTTCTACTGTACCTTCTTGAAGTGCATAGGTAAACTTCTTTGGAACATTTCCAAAACTATACCCAAAATTTATGGAAGAATGAAAGCAAGAAGAAATGTACTAGAGATACAAATAACAATGTTATATAGACAGATGTTGATAGATAAGGACATAAGTGAGAGAGACAGAAGGCTATTGTAATAATTTGGGATTACTATTACAACAAAAATTATAATTATTGTGTAGTTTCTGAAAACATTGATATTTCCTTTCAATGCTCACTTTGCTTCTGAACCACAACCCAAAAGGTCAGATTTCTGAAGTACATGGTAATTTGCATCATCAGGTGATCTCCTATATTTTGATGATACCTGTGAGATTTTACATTACTTGAACATCTACCTCCAAATAGCCAATGAAGGTATTCATGTTCCTATTTCTTGGTATGGTACTTAAATCAATCAATAGCAACTATGAAATGTAATTTCTAAAAGAATACAAACTTCCTGGATATGGTCACCAAAGAAAGAACACATCTCATTTGACAAAAACTAGAGTTAGAAGTATTTGAGGAGAAAAGACACTCACAATGCAATTCATCCTAATTCACACCAAGCTTGAATTTTGTGCAAACACACCTCTCTAGAAAGGAGCCTCTGAAATCTATAACATTTTCATTTTAGTCCTCAAAACTGAGGTCATGAGAACATATGCTGGTGGAAAACACACTGTATCAGAATAGCCATGGTCTGAAAGACAGAAGGAGCTGTCAGCACAATGGTTGATCATGGGGTCTAATACACAAAACAGAGGGCACTGGTAATGAATAGAAAACACCCCCAGTCATAGGCACTCTTGTACATCTGGCAGCTCTCTGGATGCTGATATCAGTAACTGATTCTTAATTAGATTACCTCCAATGGGACCAATAACACTAGGCTCTCAGAGACCATGGCCATGAACAAGTGGAGGTGGGAAACACAAGATGAGTTAGTTTATGCAAGAGCTCAGAGATGAGGGGGAAGGGAGAACTGAACTGATCTATGAGATGCATCCCAGGGTGACGGGAATAATTGCAATAATGCCTACCAAGGAATTTCCTCCTTTAAAGACTCAAAAGAAACAGAATAGAGTCTGTTTTGACTGGATGTATTCATGTGGGATGATTCTGCCTCAATACAAGGGTTGTTCCTGACTACTGGGTCTTTCCAGATCCCTCTCTAAGAATCTGGTGGATGCCAATCTAAATAAGTCTACTTATTACTATAGATGTTCCCTATCTGGCTCTTTCTCTCTCCCCTGGGGATACAAGTTTTGCTTTTTAATGCTTTGCTTTTTAATGATAGAGTGATATATTCACACTGGGAACCAGGTATTTCTTCATATTTGGACACTCCTAAGGACATTCGGGCCCTTTTTACTCGGGTAAGTCAACACTCTGCACTTACTTGGCCAAAGAAAGGACAATAACTTATTCACTTCCTGATCATGTCACTCCTAGTGATTTTCCTATGGCAAATGTCCCAGCAGAATGTGGCCAATTAGTGTCTGCTGGGCTTCTCAGGGCTCTCATTGACTTGACAGGATACAGACTCCCTGGGGTCAGCTTCCAAGAACAGAAGGAAAGGGTTGAATGCAGAGTTATGGGAAGTCAACCACCCAGGAAGCACAGAGCACAAAGGACATTTCACTTTTTAACTCTAGTACCTACACCGATGATTAAGATACCATGGTTCCCCAGGCTGCCAAAGTTCACAAATGTGAACAATATGCTGATAGGAACACAAACTACATATAAGATGGACCCAAAACTTACAAGGCTTGAAGGAGGATCTTGACCAGGCTTCCAGGAGCAAGTCTAATACCCATAGCTCCTATAATTAGTTCCTGACTTATTTGTGTATTTTTTTATTTAATTCATTTACTTGAGAGAAAGTGAGTGACAGAGAAGGCATGAGTGTGGAGGAGGGACAGAAGGAGAGGCTAAAGCAGACTCCCCTCCCCCATAGTAGGGAGCCTAATGTGGGGCTAGATCCCAGGACGCCCAGATCATGACCTGAGCAGAAGGCAGCTGCTTAACCAACTGAGCCCCCCAGGTGCCCTGAGTTCCTGACATTTTTAAAGTCAATTTTAATGAGATATAATCTACATATCATACAAGCCCCCTATATAAGACATAATGGTCAATGGCTTCTATATCTTCACAAATCCTTCCTTCTTGATACAATGAACCTAGTATTTACAGGTTTCCATCCAGCCAACACTGCTCTTTTTGGACCAAGCGGCACAGACAGGACCCAGAACTTGATGTGGACGGCTGTGGCCACAACCCCTTCAGGCTTACCAAGAAACCTGCCCTGTGGTTCATGATCTTCAGAAAGAACTGAAGTTTTTCTGAAGTTCCCATCAAGGAGACTGAAAAAGATATTTAACCACAATGCAAAAGAACCCAATAGGATGGAAGACACCACCAGCAGCTTCTGGGCACCTGGGCAGCTCAGGCAGCTAAGTCTTGGTTTGGATCAAGTCGTGATCCCATGGTTCTGAGACTGAGGCCTTCTTTGTGTTCCCTGCACATTGTGTTTGGGATTCTCTATCTCCTTCCCCCTCTGCCCTTCCACCAGCACCTGTGCCCTTTCTCTCTCTCTCTCTCTCTCTCTCTCTCTCTCTCTCTCTCTCTCTCATAAAAAAAAATCTTAAAAAAAAAGGAAGACACCACTGATGTGCCATGTTTACTCACATTTGTGTTTGGGCAACCAGGACACAGGAATAAGGAGAACCAGAAAAGCAGACTCTGCACCTCCATGTCCTAGTGCTTTCAGGGGGCACTGGGACACCAGGAAGGAGGTGGAGATAGGCAGGAGCAGGTTGGGGTGGGATGAGTGTGGAGGAGTGGGAAAGGGGACAAGGTGGTTATTAGGGGATGGGGGAGGATGCGAACAAAGGGTAAGACTGGGGAAGCTGTTTGTCAGGAGAAGAAGGTAGCAGGGACAGTGCCAAGGTTAGATTAAGTCCTGGAAGGGAGGAAGGAGGGTTCAGAAAAGATAGTAGTTCAGCAGGTCAGTAATTCACTAGGTCAGCAGGACACAAGGAGCAGCTTAAATGGACTCTCAGGAGCAGTTGAATTGGAGGAGGATCCCTCTTCCTCCAAGCCTTCTCCTGAGTGAACGTTGCCATAGCAACCCAGAACTTTATAATCTCTCCACCAATCAGCTGCCGTTGCCCCCAGTAGATCAACATGGATACCACAGGTGAACCAATTTTTAAAAAGCCCCTTCCTACCTGGTGCTCCACAACAAAGTACAGTTACCTCCCTAGTTTCTCTAATGGAACACAGACTTGAATGGTGAAGTAAGTTGTCCAATGTCACAAACTACCCTTGGTTTCAACCTCACCATTGAACCTGTTTCATTCTAACAGGTTGTTTTCTGGCACATGGAAAGTCAATGAGATGTTCATAGGATTCTTTTCTGATCGAAGTTGAAGACCACCTCCTCCATGTCCTATTGTATGAGTGCCTTACCTTATAAGTTTTTTCGTTAATTACTACAACTCACTCTTATGTGTTATAGGTTTAAACAAGATCACATTTCTAATATTTTGAAATATTTTTTAAAATGTCAAATTGGAGATACTCTGAACTAGAAATTGCAATATCTAGTTTCCAAGTGTGCTAAGAACAGCTGAAAGAATGTGAAAAATGGCTGCTGCTTCCCTATATCCAGATTTCTGAATCACTCACTCACTCCATAAATACCGACGGAAAGCCCAGACTCTTCTAAGCAAAGTACATCATAGTTAGTGATCCAAAACACACAGCCCAGCGTCATGGGGGTTAGAAATAACGGAGCAAAAATATTTAGTCTAATAACAATACAGCAAAAATGTAGCCACAAACTGAAATAAGTGCTATGAAGGGAGGGACCTGGCTAAGATTGTGAAGATATATTGTAGAAGGAAATTGCCTATTTGAGGGGATTAAGGATATCTTCCCTAAAAAACCCCTACTTGCCCTGATGTCTGAAGGATGAATGGGACATCACCAGGTGAGGGGGGCATCGATGTCACTCAAAAGGAACACTCAGAAGTTCATGCATACACTGCAGAAGCTCCAGGGCTAGGATGCCAGGAGTCATTAGACAGGTGGGTTTGGTCCATACCTTCCAGGTTATTTAGAGCCAATATGATAATTGTCACCCAACATCCATTCTCCCTTCTCTGTCACAGATAAAAATCTGACTCTAGGAGAAGCTGCACAACTTGCCATGATCACAGATTCATTCTGAGTTGGATATTTTTTTATTTATGATAGTCACACACACAGAGAGAGAGAGGCAGAGACATAGGCAGAGGGAGAAGCAGGCTCCATGCATGGGAAGCCTGACGTGGGATTCGATCCCGGGTCTCCAGGATCGCGCCCTGGGCCAAAGGCAGGTGCCAAACTGCTGCGCCACCCAGGGATCCCCAGAGTTGGATTTTTTAACTGAGATATTTGCACACCCTGGGATAATTCATTTAGCACTTTTATGTAGATATGTTATACTTCAATTAAAA